TATGTATGTATGTATGTATGTATGTATGTATGTATGTATGTATGTATGTATGTATGTATGTATATATAACTCATGTTAATGTAATTACTTCAATGTCCAAAAGTATGAATTCATGCGGCTACCTAGACTAGCACAAAAACGTTCTAATAGTATTATTCTATGTATATGTATAGGCATCTATATATTTTCTGTTCTCTTATAACTGTAAGTATATATAACATTCAAGGTAGAGTCGATTAGACTCCCTTACTTATTGACATTTTTGTAAGCATATAATCCAGCATTAGACATGTCTCTCAGGCGGTAGGAGAGGGAAGTTCATCCTGTGTTCCCTGAGGGTTATTTGAACGTCATCAAACGATTACACATCAAGAGGAATCAGCTGCCATTCTCTGATGAGATCGACAGATCATTGGGCGCGTTCATACCAAGTGAAAGTGCAGTCTCAAGAGACTCATCGAAACGAAGTCTCATTTCGTATGTACACCAAATGAGCTTATCACTCAAAACAGACAAGGTGGAACTTTTGTAAGCGTTGCAAAGAAATAGGCCAGACTAAAATCCCCTCGTAGTTAAACTTTTAGCAGAAAATATATATTCCATAAAAAAAGACGCCTCCATCCTGACTACTTATAGTTTCTGAGTCCCGAAAACCTACTCAAAAGCGCAATGTTTATATTTCGTTTATAAGCAGAGTTTTGAGCCCACCAGTAACTCAGTTATAAGAAATGTATTCACTCTGTTTCGTTTAAGGTGATGAAGGACTGTTAGTTGAATTTTCCCGCAATCATATGAGTAGAGCTGACGTTTCCATTGAATTTCACAAAGCCCTGCTTTCCCAAAAGGTGTGTGTGAACTGTACTTTCGACTTCGCATAGGTCTTATTGATACCCCCAGCAAGAGTCGAACCATGACAGTGCCGAGTGTAAGCTCGACACGCTAATCTTGAAATTCACATCTGCCCTGTAACCCATGGGGACTTGTGGAACTGTGCCAGAGTGACTAACTCGTTGGGGGGGCGAAACTGCAGTCCACGCTGGATGAGAACAACTTTTGGGTTATGAGAGAGCTTTGAAATTACTGTTTTAGCAACCAAGCCAACCAATTCAACCGACGAGGATTGAATTGCATTAATTGACTAGAATGAATTCTCGAGTAACTGGTTCTTCTTGCTCAAATGAACCGTGATTTTTTGGTAAATATGAAGACCTTGGATTTGGTTACAGTCTCCTTTAGCTTGACATAATTTTCGTAACTTGTTCGGAATGTATCTATTCCTACGTCTTCTATCGTAATAGTCATGATAATTTTCACTATCCGACCATTAAGTTGATCAGATCATTGATCAAACCATTGACTTTCTGGAAGTTTTGTCGGCATCATAGTCACCATCGTCAGTGAGAGGCGCCATTTTTAGTACAGACTTTCAACTCATCAAAATGAAAAGTGAAAGCAATTGCTAATTTTCTGTCTGTGGCATCTCCCGTTCACGTGAACAATTTGCATATATACTTTCACTTTGCTTTCGTTGGTCTCAATGCCTCCTAGGTTGTTTTAACGAAGCGCCATCACCTTTCACCGCCGGGTTCACGTGCCGTTCGAGGGCCCGTTCGAACCAATCAACACTTCCCTCTAGCTACCTATTCGCTACGTTTGCCATCAGTTTCCTATTATAGAAGTGGTCTGAACTTGTTTTAGCAACTTGGTCGTGTTGTCAAGGTGACTTAATAGGACGCAGACTTTTCGAAGTCCTCTGATATAATAGTTATCATAATTCCCAGCGTCGGACTGTGGACTTGGTACATTCTCAGAAGTTTCGTCGACATCATATTCGTGATCGTCAATGAGTCTTGCCATAAGGCATGTGCGATAGACTTGGCGTAGAGCTCTCTTAAACCATGGTTTGTACAGCTTATCACGTCGCCTAGGCTTCACAAACCTACGTGCCAGCTAGCTTCATCCCCAGCTCCACCCCATTATTACAGTCATTTGGAACCGCTTCAATTGTCCACTTCTGAATCAAGCAATACACTCATCTTGTTCTCTCCTTTTATCAGTTTCATTTAATGTTGAGGCTGCACTCAATTTGGCCGGTATATATTGGTCATTAAATCCCCTTGTCAGATATGCAATGAAACATTCATGCACCTACACACCTGGCCAAGGTCCTGGGGGCCAACTGATATTGTGCCCCCAACTTTAGATGCCACACACACACAAGGCGGTTTGAGGTAGATCTAGCTTCTCAAATTTGTGATTCTTCATTTCTATCTCTCCAGATGGACCCATCAAGGCAAATTTTCGAAGAGATTTGCCTCTTTCCAGTTGTTCATCATGTTCCGTAAATTTATGTGTATAAGGTCCATTGTATATCTGCTCCCGAGATAAATCCGAGTTAATTAGTCCACTTCTTTTTCCCAGAATTTAATAGCTGGTAGTCTTAAGGTCCCTATGATACTACTCTTCCCTATTCCATTCTTCAGGTGGTAGCTATGGCTTTAGAGGTGATTCGTACGAATGAGAACCCTGACAGATGATTATTCAGACATCCTCAATTTTTAATCTTATTATGCCTACAGACATACTAATTCTGAGCAAACTTTTATATTTATAATAAGCATATTTTGCTAAGTTATCTTTGACCTGAGTCGGGAACGAGATTTTGCTGGAGCCGCTTCGAGAGACAAGCGGTTTATAAATGGAGGAGTGGGTGAGCAATAATGTTAATGTGAAATAATGAGCAACCTTATTCTGCGAGCAGGCCACAATATAATATGTACATATTTCATACATTTTTGCTAGAAATCAAAATACTCTAATCCATATACTAAGTCAGTAGGCCACCTTGAATAAGAATTCAATCATCCTGGATCTCTCGAGGTTATACAAGGGCTGATAGGTGAGCTTTCCACAGTGAAATGAGTAGGCCTCACGATATCATTAGAGTTCCCTTAATCTTGACTCCTAAAATACATTCCCATTCATTTGCATTTTTAAATAGGCTTTCGAGACTACAAGTAAATCTTGAATAAGAACCGTTTTCACCCTATTTCGTTTAAGGTGATGAATGAATGAATTTAAGTTGAATTTTTCTACAATTATCTGAATAGGCCTCATGATTCCATTGAATTTCACATCGCATTACTGCCAAAAAGATATTATTGGCCAGTGTGGATTGCAGGTTCGACTTCCCCTAATCCCAATCGGCACCCCTAGGCGGAACTCGATCCTGGTCAGTGCAGCGTATTGTCTTGAAACGTATCCCACTACGTCATAATTCCACAAGTGTCCTTGGGTCACAGAACAGATGTGTATTTCAAGGAAGGCCAGGTATTTTCCCATCCCACAGTCTCTTGTGGGATTGTGGATGAAGCAAATTTTTATCGAATATAATGTTTATTTTCGCTTATAAATGGGCATTGAGACTATCAGTAGATCATATATATATGCCATATTTCTAAAAAATTAAATTAGACGAAATAGGGTGAACACAGCTCTATTCAATTAAAAACTAAAATATGTAATAGAAGTAGGTTGACATCGTTGTCGCAACTTGGTCTTGTTGTTGACTTATGTTGAGATAATGAGGTCAGCCCACTTCTATAAATCGAAAGGAGACTGCGATCATACCGGGGGCCACACCATCTTGGTTTTTATATCTTCGATTAGAATAAGTAATGTATTCTATTGTTATAGCAAATAAAATTTTGCTAAGCTGACGATTTCACTACAGAAATGGCTATGGTAAGGGGCCCATTTTTCTTTAAATTTTCTTCCGCCCTATCACATAAGGGCATTTGGGGCCATGTGGATTAGTGGCTAATGCGCCACACTAATGGGGTTCGAATGCCGCTTGGGAATGATGCTTAGACCTAGGCGAGATTGAAACTGCAGTTCAGTCGAGCCAGGGTGAGAATACCTTTTCGGGAGCAAAGTTATGTGAGATCCAATGGAAACGTAAGGCCTACTCTCTTAAATGTGGAAAACTTCAACTATCACTCCTTCATCGCCTTAAACGAAATAGGGTGAACCTAATGCTGAGATATGAAGAGAAGCTGGGTTTCGAAGAATCCAGTAATAGATTGATACTAGCGTACCTTTCATTTAGTTTGAGAATGCGGGTCAAAGGGATTCGACCAACCAAATCATGGAATTCCTCGTTAAGATCGCAAAGTGAGGTATAAGAAGTAAGTAGGATCTCAGCTGGCCACCTCTCTCGGTTTAATGTTTTTTGGTGATTTTTTCGTGAATAATGGTTTCCGGCTCTGACGATGTCCGTCAAATAACGGACGAAAGCTCAACACGGAGTCATCGGGATCGTAGGACGGGCAGCCAAGGTCTTCTTCGCACAATTCAACAGACAAGAGCCCAAGGCAATCCTCCTGCGGTATCCGGTGCGGCTAATCTACGAATACTTTCGAGCCACATTTTCAAACAAAATGAAAGGTACGTCAGTATGGACTTAATTCTCTTTCTAAATCAGACTGGATTGCTGTTTCCGAATGAACTGGGGAGCACCGGTGGGCATCAAAAGCAGGCTTAGATAGCGTTTAATCTAGTTAAGGTGCTCATCAAACATGAGTCAGTAGCAATGCATATACAATAGTTCTGCCTGCCCACACTTAAACACACTTCAACGTCGTTTATTTATATAAGTAGACAGCTGTGACCACATCCACATTCTGTTCATGCATCCTACACATCTCTCCACATCCTATTCCCTCGTACGCATCCGCATACAGTTACCAATCAAGTCATGAGATGGCCCATTAGAATCGTAAAATAAAGCACAATAAATTAGTATAAATGTGGCCCGCCTCCTACCTTAGTTCAGTGATTGAGGTGTCTTTTTGCAAATGATGTCTTCTTGATTTGACGGCGGAACGGCCGAAGGCTCAGTACGAATTGATCGCGGTTGCAGTACGAGCCGAGGGATTCTTCTAACAGTCAAACAATCTACATGGTAAGGCAAACTTCACTTACTATCCTTGGAGGCCAATTCACTGCTGCTTTTCAAA